CGGCAATGTGTATATATATTTTTTTTCTTATTTTTTTGTGAAACACGCGGTTTTTATTTCTTCGTGAACACCCAGTGCTTTTTATAAACTCCTTTGCCTTAGATTGGTGTGTAATCGTGTTGGTAAATGTTTTCAAACCGTGTAACCGATGTCTCTAAACATTATTTATACTTTTTTTTTTTCGAGAGATATGTACCACGTTACTGCCTCAACTTCTGAGTTTGTCTTGTTTGCGTCTTCAGGTGTGGCTTATCCTGGTAAGTGTCATTCAAACCCATCTCCACCTTTATACTTCGCCTCATCCTACGATGGACTAAAGGGCAAACCTACGGGCCGCCGGATCCAATCACGTTCCACGATAAACTATGGCATGCTTAACATTGATTAAGGGTGGACGAATAATGCTCCTAATCAAAATGCGCTGCATCATTTCTATAGCTTCGACACTTCGAAGAACCTGTATGTCGTGGCTTTCTTTGCAATGTAAAATTGATGAGTCACTCAGTAACGTTCATCGCAGCGAAATACCAGGCAATTTCCAAGTGGCTCGTGATTGGATCTGGTGGTTCGAAGCTTTTGCCTTTAGTCCATCGTAGGGTGAGACGAAGTGTAGTGTATGATTCGTCACCCATAAATTAAGCTCCACACCAGCGGGGTGTTAAGAAACTTTAATAGACCCCTTTCGAAATTCGCGTGCCAATTATTAAGAGGTCGGAACCACTGCACAATGGCGGAACAACTGCATCGAGGAACGTGCAAGTCACTGGATTAGATAGCGAGCGTCGGAGCGCGGCCAACATTACGAGCCGACGAGCCAATCAAACGGCGTTTAAAGTGCAACGTCACTGAGCTCATCACCTTTTTCTGTGGGTGGGTTTTTTTCAGTCTGCCGTGACGTTGAGGTTTAAGTTCGCCATTGTGCAGGGATTCGACAGCTGCCAACAGGGGGCAGTATTTCGAAAGGGGTCTATAGTCTAGAAGTACATTTTATTTCAAACTTAAATATTGCAGGCTAGAAAAAGATGAATAATCTGGCATGTAAATACAAGTGAGGACCGGTCTCCCTCGGCGTCAAATATGGCGACCCCCGTGAAGCGGGGGAGGCATGTGGTGACTCGCTCTCCCAGTTCAGACTCTTGATTTTCTACTGCTGTCGCTTGGAAGTTGCCGGAAAAAAAAAAAGTGGTGCGAGACTTTTGGCCCGTTCACACTGGAAGCGGACATCCGTTTCCAGTCGAAACGCGCGTTTTCAACCACAAAGCGACTGGGATCGCGTGGATTTGCCTGTCGCTACCGGACCGATGCCTCCCGACCGCTTTCACCAAACCGCGAAGCACCAACAAATCGCAACGCGGCAGGCTGGCTTGACGTCCGTGACTTTCGAAACAAGGCAACACCAGTCGATGGTCAGACGTCCTATAGTCTCTGACAAGTCAAGAACAGTCCCGAAGCTTCGCCCACAAGCGTAATCCACCCGTTTGAAGTTCCTCAACTGTCGAGAAAGTGGTGACCTGGAAACGACGTTTTTTGCGTTCAACAAAACTCTTTTAGGTGCGAAGAACGCTGACGATGTTTTGGTTTGATCTACCAACCTGTCTTTAGAGAATCTCTTCAGAAATAAGTGGGTGAAAGCGCTCCGGAGTTAAAGTTGTCTTTACAAAAGCTGAGGGACGGTTACATACGATACCTGGGTGTTCAACTTGAAACTAATGCCGGCCTTTGTAGAGAATATGGAACGTACGCAGCAAACCTCTTCATCATTCAGTGGCTGCCCCTCAAATCATGTAAAAGTAGGAATAATTCGGAACCTTGCCAATGTACCAGTTCAAAATTCAAGTTTTCATTCGATTAGTTAATCTCTTAATCGCCTTATATAGCGCTTCATAATTGCAAGTTATCCTCGGGAGTATATTTTAAGACATTGGTTCAAAAGAGTACTAAACCTTCGAAGCGAGTAGTCTTTCGCGACTTTCGCAGAAAATTTCGCAGCAAAACACTGGCCAGCACGTTTAATGTTAGCATTTATTTGCTTCAACAAATACAGGTTTTGCGAAGAAGCACAGGCAACATGGTGGGTGTGTGTCAGGAATTATGTAATAGGTACCTCTTGATTGTGGCATGTCCTGGGTTTTGAGTGGTGGTGACCTTGAATGTTTTTTGTTGAAGTGATCAAGGAGAGTATGTGACGTGGCCTTCTGTGTTTCGTTTAGGGATGACGAACAAAGTCACTCCGGTGTAGAATAGGGCTGTTGCGTTCTCTGAGCGGGAGTTTAGAGGTGTGGGAGAGGAAATGTTTGTCTTGAGGTCTTTTGTTTCCTTATGGTGGTCCCTTAAGCCGGGGCCACACAGCACATACACTATACAAAATACAGTCTGCAAACACGACTCACCGCAATATCCGTTGTTTGAATGCCGCCTGCCAAGTTTTTTTCTTGAACTCATTGCCAGCAGTGTGATTAGGATTCAGTTCTGGAGCTTTCTGTTCAGTTTGGTATCACTGCCTAGTCCGGAGTTGCTTGCGTCTGTTTGAGCAACAACCGGTGGGTCACGATCCGGCAGCTGTAACAAAGTGGCGTCGTTTATCGCCTTTGAGAGCCAATGGGAAGCGTCTTGTTGTTCTTGTGCCCAACGCTACGTTTCTCATTTGCGCAAAGCAGATTCAAGGGATTAGCGATCTGAGCGCTGTGTGGGATAAACTGGCGATAAAACCCAGTCAATCCTAAGCAGTTTTGCAAGATTTTGACGTTGTGTGGTTGCGGGTACTCAGATATCGCACTCAGCTTATCCTCGTTCGGACGGAGAACTCCGTTGCCCACTACGAAACCAATAATGATAATCTTCGACAAAATGAGATGCATTTTTTCATGGTGATCTGCCAAGCTGGCAGATTGCAATTGCTCGGGGTCATTCTTAAGATGTTAGAAGTGTTCCTCGAGAGAATGGGAAAAACAACGACGTAATGCATGTAAGCTATCGTAAATCTGTTCTTCCTGTCACCGAAAACAATGTCCATTAGGCGCTGAAAACTAGTGGGCAAGTTCGAAAAACCGAAAGGAAGGCGATCTAACAATTAGTTGTGACAGGTAAATGTTGTCTTCGGGGCATCAGCGGGGTCTACCTTGATCGTCAGGAAACCTCGACTGCAATCTAGAGTGGTGAACACTTTCCTGCCGCCAATCGCGTACATGATCGAGTCGATCAAAGGGAAAATGCACAACCCTCTCAGGGAGACCGCGTTGAGTTTGCGGTAGTCCAAGCAGAGGCGTCCAGAGCCGTCTTTTTTCGGTGGCAAGACTACGGGGGAAGCCCGCGGACTCTGGGACTCTCAACCCGCACCGGTGTCCAGCATCTCCTGTAGAGCGGCGTCCAGGAGGGCTCGTTTGGGGACGCTGACGGGTCTCGGGTAGCACCGCAAAGGACTGGCGTCAACAGCCTCGATGAGACGCATCAGTACGTTGGTCTTGCCCTAAACGTCCCTGAACATCGGTGTGTACGGCCGCAGGATGCTCGCTAGCTGCCGTTTCTGCACGCTGAGAAATGGACACGGCTGCAGGGAGTCTCGGACGCTGGATGGATGGGCAGCAGCAGGTTACGCTGCTGCCCATCCATCCATCGGCTTGTAGGGACGGCCCGGTGATGCAGTCCTCTAGCCTTTTAAAGGGGGTACCTCGGTGGCTTTGAGGCAAAGCGCCGTCCTATGGATCTACAGGTGGCGGGTTCGAATTCCGGCTGAGGTGCCCGCAATCTGACGGAGGCTTATTGCGGAGAAGAAGCCGTGTAACTGAACTTTCGGTGGCACGTCAAAAGATCCCGTCAAAATTAATCCTCGGTCTCTGCTGGGACGTGCCAGATGACCTTCGTTGGTTTGGCACGTAAGACGCCTAAATTTGATTTGTGTAAAAGGTGTTACATGAGGCTGGTTGCTCAACCAGTAGCCGCCAGAAGCAAAGTTGAGCGAAATATTTCGCCTGCGATAAAGTCCTGGTCCAAGATAATAAAAAGGGTCAATCCGGGCAGATAAAGAAAAGCGCTGATACTTTTCTTTCCGTTAAAGGAAATTCGAAGCCTTATGGCGCCCGCTGCGTCAAGCAGTGACTTTGATGCTAATTGCGGAAGCGTACACGACGAACTAAGTATTGCTTTCCTTGTTTTATATAGCTCGAAAACGACGTCTCCAATAAATGAAATTCCCGCTCCGGTGTCGGCCGGTGCGACAAAAGGCACGTCAAGTAAACAAATTGTCGCGCGTCGGTCAATATCCTGGTCCGTAGTGCGAATCGACCGACAGAAGGGAGCCATGCTTGCGACTCACAGGTCTTGAGGCTGGCCGTGGCCTTCGGCGGTTAGAGCTCCCGGTTCAGCGTCGCTGGCATCGATGGTTTCCTGGCTCTGCTCACGGATATGACGTTATGGGCACTCGTTGCAGAAGTGGCCACGCTGTCCGCGATTGAAGCAGGCGTCAGACTGTCCTTGCTGCCCTTCGTTGCCCCGTTTACTCCCACGTCGGCAGCTGCCTTTCGGCTCCGCTGGTGCATTCCCACGTTGCAGCCGCCTCTTGGCTGACGCTAGGGCCTTTCTGCCACTGATGATCTTGCAGAGGGTCAGACAGCCAGGTTTCACCATAAGCGAGCTGCAGCCGACCCCTTTCGAGGTTTCGCGGCCCCCGCTGCATGCTTCGACCAATGTGCGGGCCCTGAGGGGATCAAACCCAGGCGCCTGGGGCTTACCTTCATTGGGAATTTAACCTGTCGGCAACCCCACCCAGTGCGTAGGCACCAGGCCTGTCGTGGTAGGCGAAAGCGCCGGCTTTTTCGAAGTGAAAGAAACAGAGCTGTCAGTGCATTGAAACAGTTTGTCAGGGGTAACCCTGTGGTGATCCCAAAAGCCCCAAGGAGCAAGGTCCTACAGCTCTTGCACGCAAATCATCCTGCGATGAGAGTGATGAACGCAACGACTTGTAGCCTTATTGGTGTCCGAAACTCAACCAAGAGACAAAAAAGTTCGTGCGCTACAGCGACAAGTGCCAAACCAACCGTCAGAGCTACCCCAAGGCACCAGTAGACTTTTGGATCAAGCCAGAGCAGCCCTGGAGCAGGTTGCACGTTGACTTCGCAGGTCCAGTCAAAAGCGAGAGTTTCTTGGTAATCCTTTCTGCATATTACAACTGGGTGGAAGTGGGGATCATGCCCTCGATGACTTCGACTGCCGTAGTCAGAAGCCCGCGCAAGTGTCTTGCAACACATGGTTTGGCGGGCAACATTTTGTCTGATAACGGAACTGCAGTTGCCATCCAGGAGATGCAAGACTTCCTCAGGCTGAATGCTCTCCGCGTTGCGTACACAGCTCCATACTAACCTGCGAGAAATGGCATGGCAGAGCAGATATTGAGGGAGGTGAAGGGGACACTCAAGACGCAATCGCAAGGAGATACTCAGTGGAAAATTTCGCGATTTCTATTCAAACTGTACTCGGCCCCCTCCCCCCCTCCCCCTCAGGGATCGGCAAGACACCAGCTGAGCTCATGATGGGACGGAAGTTACGTTCGCCACTAGACAGGCTTCATCCGGATCCGATTAAAGAATCAGAGAGACCAGTCCCAAAGATGAAAAAATTCCAACTGAGCAATGCGGTCTACATGAGAAGTTTCACCCGTGGCCCGCGATGGAAAGCAGCAGTTGTGGTTGCCATAATGGGCACAGTCTTGTATAGAGTGCAGCTGGAGAACGGCGACATTCATCGATGCCACCGTGACCAGCTGCGGGCTTGACTGGACATGAGCGTCAACCCAATTAGCCGGGAGAATGCTGGTCAACTGCCACCCATCACCTTTTTTTTTTTTTTCATACGCTTTGATGCGCAAAATACATTGCCCCGCGCCCTAGAGTTCTCGTTCCGTAAGCACGTGGCTGTTGGTTATATGCCATCTTCTCTCTTGTTCTCTTCTAGATGAAATATTGAGTTGTGGGGTCAGCGGCTATCCCGTCTCCTGTATTCTTATACGGTTTCCTCACGTGGCTTGCTGACTTTAACCACGTATAACACGTTCAGTACTGAATCATAAGCCTCCTAAAAGTGTACCTCAAGAAATTAATCCAAATAATGTCATTTTAAGCGAAGTGAACGTGGCCAATGCGTTTAATAATTTATTTCTAAACGTTCGTGCATCGTCCCGTGTATTATCGTCCTGCATAACTAAATCACTAGAGTGGATGCCAGCATCACAAGTACAGTGATGTGATTGGCCTAACCCATTTTGGAGCACCTTTCGGAGCAGCCAAAACAGTGTTTCGGAGCAGCAAATCTGGCCTTTGGAGCAGCCAAAACAGTGTTTCGGAGCAGAAAAAGTGACTTTTAAAGCATATATTCTTAGAAAAATAAATATTTGTTTTAAGTGCTGGACAAACGAAGGGCACATTATGTTGTGTTGTGATGTGACATGTTGGGGCGGGACTCGCTGCTTGTGTTTTTGCTGCTGAGACATCCCACAAGTAAGAGTGCTGTAAACGTTGCCAAGCAATTCCGAAAAAAAAACAAAAAAACACTTGCCATAGTTTTACTGGTTCCCGACTTGGCAGATTTTTATAAAAAGTAAGCAAACGTAAAACAATGAATTGCAAGCGTCCTGGCTCGTGCCTCGCGCGCAATCATGTTCAGATGCACCTGAGGGCAACTTCGCAGGTTTGCAGTTACACGTGCTTCGTCGCGCGAGCGGAGACAACGGCTGTTCGACCGAAACCATGCCACTCCGCTCCGTCGCCAACTGATTCCCAAAATAGTATGCAAAATGTAACTGTCCAGCATGCGACAATAAACAGTACAGCGGCGCGTGCTTGCCAGGCCGGCAGGCAAGGTATAGACTAAACATACAGAAAAAAAAAAAAAGAAACTGAGCGTATCGATGTAAGACCTTGCGAGTCAGGGTCAAAAAGTTCTTGGAGCGCTTTGTGCAACGACTGAACTTGAAACAAACAAGCGCGGTGTGCGGGTTCAGCGCGCAGATATTGCCTTCCTTGCTTTAGCTCACTTCTCGTCATCAACCTTCTTTCGCGGCAGATTTTTCACGTACCGGGGTCCCTCTCGAAAGAAAGCCCACTGAGAGAAACCTAGGTGATCAAAGCTTCGCCAAGCATTCATTGAGTTATAAAGGGATTTTGATATCGGGGTATGATTTAAACAAGAGCAGGAATGTCGATGCGTTTCAGTTTAGAAAGCGCCATACCTACCACGGCGTGGGGACGGCAACACACGACGTCCCGCGACCACGGTGACTGTGGTCGCGCGAGCGCTTGAGCTCAAGTAACTCTCGCCCAGGGTGTAAGATAGACAGGTGGGAAACGGCCCATCAAAACCTACCGCAGCGCCGTGACCGGATTGTGTACTGGTCTGCTTGCGGGTACCTCCGATTTGCGACAGATGGCGCTGCGGCGAGAAGAAAAAAAATTGGAATCGAATTGGCATGGAACTTTATGGGAGACGGCGCAAAATAAACCGAGAGCACGACAGTCCTCCACTGAAAATCCACAAAAAACCTTCTCCGCCAGTTTAGCCGGTCGCCACCGTTCGCCCACCCGGAGTGAGAGTTCGCGGTGCTCCACAAAGATGGCGCCACAGAAAAAAAAAAAAAAAAAAAAACCGGGGGGGACACAATCCGGTCGCTCCTTTGGCTCTCGTTTCCTCACCTGTCTATCTTACACACTGCTCTCGACGCGCAAAAACGTGGTTTCGCTTCACATAATGACGGCATGTCTGGCACCCGGCACACTAACGTCGGCGCGTCCGCACACGCCCGCGTCTATCGCTAGAAAAATTAAAAAAAAAAAAAGACGCGAGACGAGATTTTTGAGACGACGGGAGCGCGAAATGCGAGACGGCGGAAAAAACCATGCAAGACCGAATAGACGGTTGGTACAGGGTACTTTGTGTCGGGCGGCGTCTTGTGCCACCTAGCTCGCGCATGCTCAATTACAATTCTTAGTTTAGTTTAGTTTTTGAAAGGCGACCAAAATTGGTCCTTTGGCGCAGGAGTGGCGCAGACTAGCCACATTTGGGCGAAATGTAGCAGGATCTAGCAAGGTTACCAACTTGGCGCAGTTTGGCGCAATTGGCGCAGCAATCACATCACTACAAGTATATGTAACTTTTTTTTACTTCCGAATGACGGTGTAGAAGTGTATACAACCGGCATGAGTCCTAAGAATTGCAAAAGCATTGTTGTCGATAACATGCAAGTGGCGCTTACCAAATACGTCATTGTTCTTGCACAATATTTAACACACATGTATAACCTCGCATTTGGAACCGACTGTTTCCCGCTTCAGATGCAACTATCAAAAGTTCGCTGTACTTCACAAGGCCGGTGAAATGTTATATATAAAGAAATTAAGACTAGACCGAGTTTTATTCTTCCCCTTTTTTTTGCTAAATCACTCCAAAAAATGTAACACTGAAGATTCCTCGCGCATCTTGAAAAATATTTTTTTTTTTAATATCAAACTCACAATTTGGCTTTCGTAGGCACTGTTCTACTCAGATGGCATTGTCTAATCAGAAACAATTTATCTTAAAGGCATTTAACGAACGAAAACTAACACTAGGTGTATTTTAGATTATTCAAATGCTTTTGATTCCTTAGATCATGATTTTTTCCTAGCTAAACTGCCTATTTTTAATTAGGAAATGCGCTAGACATTTTGAAATCATTGCTACAAAATAGATATCAAGACGTATATTTTTCTAAGTATAATTCCGGTAGGCTTGCCATAAAATCGGGAATTCTCCAGGTCAGCATATTGGGCCCATTGTGCGTTTTGTATATTAATATATTGTTACCATGGGTTGGAATATTGATATCAAGGTAAATATTTATGCGGATGCTACAAGTATTGGTATGCATAACCCTGTTGTTACAACATTTTCTACAACACAGGAAGTCGACGACCGATTTATTGTGTAGACAACTGAAATAAATTAAAATTAAACAGTAATAAAACCAGTTATGTTGTTTAGATTTCGTAATGAAATGGTAGATGTCCTTCCTTGTCTTTTTATAAACAACGAGGAAATTGAGTTAGTAGAGCAAATTAAAGTATTTTCTTGACGGGATATGAGCTGGAATACTCATATCGACATTTTAATAACAAAGCTACCAGAGAGCGTTGGCTTATTAACAAAACTTAAAGCTACATTTCCTATTCAAATCAAATGAGCAATTTATAATTCGTTTATTTGTTTCCATCTTAATTACTGTAACCTTGTACGGGGCACCACATCAAAAACAAATCTTACTAAATTATATGTTTTACAAAAAAGGGCAGGTCGTGCCATTCCGCCTGCTTAATTTCCTCACCCCAGAAAATCCATATTCAGATCCCTTAAAAAGGCCCTAAAAAAAGAAAAAAAAAAAGCTTTTTTTGAACAGTTTTGGTGGGACACGCGTGTCAAGAAATTATTTTTTCCGAAAATAAAATATTTTAGTGCAATATTGATGGCGCGACACGCGATTTAGTCGGTAGTCACCTCCTTTCCACCTGTTTTCTCTCTTGGCATTTCAAGCGCGTGGAGGAGAGGTGGATCGGCTTGGCCATCAGGTTGACGTGGAGAGAGTGAATTACCATCTCGTTGAGGTCGAGACAGTGTACCACCATTCCGTGACGTCATGACTGCGCGCACAATTTAAAACAAATCTCGCGCCGTTAATATTGCTCTAAATTTTTTCCTTCGCGTGAAATTAGTTTTTTTGAGCTGCATGTCCCAACGAGGCTCTTGAAAAAACTGTATTTTCAGGAAACCTTTAACATAACAACCGTCCAGTAAATGTATATTTTCGAACTTTGCCCACGTACCAACGAGCTCTCCAGCACCGCATTGATCATTTCATTCAGGTAGCTAACCTAAAACGTCACACCATTTTGCATACCCTAAGACAATGGTTCTCAACCATTGATGTTTCGCGGACCCCTTGTAGATTGGCGCAGATGATGGAGGATCCCGTTTGTGGCGAAAGGAAGGGAAATGTATTGAGTAATTATAATAATGATTTAATATTTGTATGTAACTAAGGGCTAGTGTGAAGTAGACTTCTCTTATTGACATACACACGAGAAAACTCGCCCGACATCAACAGCCATGAATGGTATACCCCCATCCCGTACTAAGTACCCTGATCAAACGCTTCATTTCAATCTGTCGACCATGCTGAATAGTTCCGGTAAAAAATGAAAGACGTTTACAGATCTTTGTTATGCGAAATTAGAGCCCAACTCTTGAGGGGATTATGGGAAGGTAAGGACGGGAGGGTATGCCCCTTCCTCTTCCTCCGAACCCTACCCTCTTCATCTCCTTCTCTCTTCCCCCTCCTTTCCTCCACTCCTCCTCCTCATCCTCAACACCAATTCAGATTCCCCTCTAAATTTAGTGGGGAAAATATCGTCACATGACTACGTGTCACGTTACCCATGAGCAAAATCAGTTTCTCCACTAGAGTTAGCGGTAAAATTTAGGTCACGTGACCTCAACACCAATTCAGTTTGCCCACTAAATTTAACATCAAAAACCACTAAATCAGTAATTATCAGAAAGACTTTGAGCGCGTGAGGAGCGTAGTAGTGCACTAAAGTTACCACTCGTGGAGGAGGAACAAGGCTGGGGCTAGATAAGAGATGAAAAAATCGCGCGGTCGTCTTACCGAAACCGCTAGCCTTGTACCTGCTCCACGAGTGATAATTTTAGTGCACTACTTCGTTTCTCACGCGCTCAAAGTCTTTCTGAAAATGACTGATTTAGTGGTTTTTGATGACGCTGAGCAAGTTTCTACTTGGAACTATTTGTCTATTTTCATTAATTAATAAGCTAAATAACAAATTTTAACTAATTAGCCGACTGGTCGCTACGATTAGCTCACTATACTATGTCCCCCTGGACATATAACTCACCTGCGCAGACCGCATTAATATAGCTTTCATGGCCTTTAAAAAAATTTTTGTTAAACTTAAAAAAAAAAAAACTTTATAAGTGGTTTCATCTCAACTCAAACACGAATTTGGGGTCCAATTTTTTTTTTTTTTTAATTTTTACGAAGCAATTATATGTTTTGGGGAAACCTCTTTGTGGCAGGGAGTGAAAACAGCAAGTTTGTGCGATTTTTCGTTCTCGAGTTATGGAAATTTTAAGCAGCCGAGGTGCCAACTGACCTTTCTCTCGCCTGTCGGAGGTGTCATGTTTCACTCCTTTCTACTTTTTGACTTTTTTTTTTGTAGTTCAATCTAAAGTTTTAGGCCACTCTCAAACAGGGATTATTAATGGTCAATAATTTTATTGTGATTATTTATTTTCAATTTTGTTTTAAATATTGTCAAAGTGTGTCTCTTTAACAACATTTGTCAAAGTTTGAGCAGTTCTTCCGTGTGACCTAACTGACCTATTGTAACATATTTAGTATTTCCAGAAAGCTAAGAGTATATTCTTTATAATGATAAAACCTTTAATGTTGTGTGCAAAAGATAAAATGCAGCGTATTCTCGTAAAGCAAGGACTATTACAACATTTTTGCAAATTAGAGGTTGGGTATCTAAAAAAAAACTTTTCTTTGGCTCATTTTCCTCTCGCTAGCTATTGCAATGCTTTATAGGGTAATAGAAATAGAAAATAGCAGCTACAAAAGCTTGAAGTATGATTTTGTTTGACCGTTTTGTCAGTAAATCAACTTACCCGCAAAAATACACTAACTCAAAATTGGCGCCTCCTATTTTTTTAATAGAAACCTGGGAACGTACTCATTATCTGATAAATAATTTTAACGCGATTATTTATGTAAACTATATATTTTTTTAAATTCCCAATATGACGTTTTTAGACAATATTTGTGAATATTTACCAGCTCTTCTGTGTGACCTATATGAGGTGTCTTAACATATTTAGTATTTTCAGAAAGATTAGAGTATACTTTTTCTAATGATAGCAAATTTGATGTTCTGTGTAAAAAAGAAAGGGCAGTATTTTCTCATAAAGCAAGGACTATTTCAAAAAGTTTGCGAATAGAAGGTTAATTTTCTAAAAAGTCTACCTTTTATTTGACTAATTGTTTTTCTCTAGTTACTTATTGCAGTGCTTTATAATGTAAAATTAACAGATAATGTAATATTGTGTTTGTATGGCGGCTATAAAAGCTTACATTTTGGTTTTTGTTCATTTGTCGCCCAGTATTACACGTAACTCACAAAAATACTTTAACTCATAAAATAACGCCTCTGAAATTTTTAGTAGCTACCTGTAAGTTCCTTTAATAAAAGAAGATGCAAACGGCGACTTATGCTAATAAAGTGTCTAGGCCATAATATCTTTAATGTTTTTTTTTTTAATTGTCAAACCACCTCTCTGCAACAATATTTGACGAAGTTCAGCAAGCTGTGCTGTGTGACCTAATCAATATATTTTTATGATCTTTACATCACCGCAAAGCTCCTATTAAGTTATTTCTTTCGAATATAATATGAATATTTCGCGCTAAACATATAACGCGTAACACTAGCCTGAAAAACGAATATTTAGAAAACCTTGAAAGTTTGAAGTCGATTTTCTAAGAAACAAGAAAAACACACCTTTTATTTCTTTCATTTTTTATTCAAAGTTAGGTCATAGTAGTCGGTCAGGAACTACCAACCGAAATTGTAATTTCTTTTTTGTAAGGCCGCTATTAGAACTGGAATCTCGTGCTATGAGAGTTCTGAACGGGACTTCGCATAGAGGCTCAGCTGAGCAGAATTTTGACTTAAGTAAGGTTTTCTATTTAGTCTTAGTACTTACCTCAATATGTGAGCATAAAAGCCACTGAAGCAACAAAATTTATCCTCAGAATATTTATTTGCTTGGCACTGGGTGATTTGCAACGTGTGTGAGCTTCGCCCTATGTATTGACGGGGAAGATACGTAACATCTTGACTCCCGGACAAACTTAA